AAAATGCGTTATATTTATTATTATTATTATTAGTTTATTATTTCTAAAGTATAATTAAAATATGAATATCGTGCGTTACATATTGTTACAAATTATAACTTAACTATAAAATAATAGTATACATTCCAAGGAAAAAAAAAATACGATATTCACACACATATATATGTGTGTGTGTGTGTATATCGTATTTTTTTTTTATTTTTTTTTTTGATATATATATATATAGGTAAATGAATTATATTTTCCTCACTTCGCCCGTAAACGGATTATATTGAATAATACGGTCGTGTATGACTAGGCAGTATGCGGCTGTATTGGCTGGGAAATTATTAGCTGCCTCTATCTCGATACGTAAATCAATACTTGAAGTCTTAGCGTCATCGTTTTGTCGCGAACAATCTATACATATAAATGGACCCACCTCTTTATATGTTTCCCTCGACAAGCACGGCTGAGCGCTAAATCGTTCATAATAATGTTTCTGGAAATCAACATAATTCTGATAGAACATGGTGAATMGATTTTTGTCGAAGCTTTCGTTGAAATCTTCATATSKKYATTCKACAGAATTAATATATGCTTTAACGTTTGTCAGCGAGCACGCGTCATAATCGACGTTATAACCGTCTGACACGGTCCCGGSTGCGTTCGYGAGAAAARCGATTATTAAGCATCTAGGTCTCTCTACCTGAGAGCATGTCTTTACCATCCAACTGTGCTTGCTGGCCTGAGGTAAATTGGGATACTCGCAAAGCTCCCAATTTCTAAAAGCACAATTTATCATTTTTTTACTATCGATGATTTTAAGCAGTTTCAATCTCTCTCGGTCATCGACTTTGATAACAGGTATTTTCCACAATACTCGTGTCAGCTGTATTTTGACTTTTTTCACCATAGTCTTAACCGGCTCGGTCGTCAAGTCCTTCCCCGCCACGCTAGTGAAATGCAGTGAACTCAGATCCGACATCGATCTATTCAATATGAGCTGCTGACTGCAATTCACCAGTATCCGCTTGTAGTCCTCACAAAAACCGAAAACATGCTTTAACGGTATACAACCACTGAACGAACCATCTTTAATGAAATTAGCATTTTTATTAGTGATATCCCAGGCAGCGTTTTGCAAGATATTAGCGTCAGCAGGTGTATACGAACAAAAGCCTTTCATTGAGCTAGTTATTCCGGGTTTTTTCACCCGTTGTACTTCGGTAGAGTTTATCTCGTATTTCATTTCGTTGAAAAAATTTGTCAAACCGTTGTGGGCTAGGCTAATTCCTGTTTTCATTTCACCGGGCTTCGTTATTTTACCCTCGATATAAATAAAACTATCGCTCGGAAGCGTATGTGCGTCTCGGTTTTAAATAGCGATACGGATTTCGTCCCCATTATCTAGTGCACTCGTGGAAAACGGCAGGAAAGAATGTATAAACATTTCACGAATAGGCGATTCGTTTACATATGCACCGCCCACATCTAAGTACGATTTATCCATAGTGTTAATGCGTGATATAAAGTAAAAAATAAAAAATAAAAAATGTCTACTTGTTTGCGATCAAACGTAAAAATTTACGATTATCGAGCGTCAGCGTTTTTTTTTTCTTTTCGATATTATTACTACTAACTTTACCACGAACAGCTGCGGTGTGTTGGGGTGTGTGTCTGTCAGCAGTCGCGACTTTAATGCGTGCATCGCCATTGTCCGCGGTATATTTATCGACATTAAATTTCAAACCCATTTTTTATAAGCAACCTTATGTTTACAGCTTCACCGCGGAAATTAATTAATTTCCCGTTTTGATCGGTCAATGAAACTCGCACGAAATCGATCGTATTTGTTTTCAATTTATACATCATGCTATATTTAGGTATTTCAACTAATTTATAACCGGGCGGCGCGATCGGATAAAATTCGTGTATCGTATGCGATTGCCGTCCGTTGTTGAATGAGCCTAAAGCTAAGTTACATTCGACTTTTATCGTGTTGACGTTCATAATTTTCACCACGTGATCAGATTCATGTCTATGGTTGCGTACCAGAATACGCTTATCAAAGCCCAACAACGACGCGATGCTATCTTCGGCGGTTAAATCTATATCATTAGTACAATGTATCGTACATTTCAACGTGCTGCTATTAGTTGACAAACTAAAAAAATGCACATCGACGTCCTTTAGAAGTTCACGTATTTTAGTTTCTAAAACAATTATTTCATAACACCCGGTAGGTATTTTAATCTTAGCGACCTCCGTCTRATTACCGTGAATAATATGTAGAGTATCGCATCCAGTCTYGACGTTAGGTATGRAATTATATGCTTGCATACTTAGAAGCCCGATTTCTGATTTATCACCCACTTCTATTGGTGGGAAAAAATGACATTCTAATTCGGAGCTGTTCCCACTCAACGATAGTGTCTGAGACGACATGAAACCGTCGATAATATTATAAATGTATTTTAATAATAATAATAATAATAATAATAATAATAGTAATATTATAATTATTATTGTTTTTCGTTAAAAAATTTTAAGCATAAATGGCCACAGTTAAAAGTATTGTATGCTTGTTGACGTTCGTAATTATATTCGATGACACAGCCTTTAAAATACTTCACTAATTGTGGCGGCGGACGAAGGTCGCCGTAGCTGTCGTAATAAAAAACTGTTTTTCCGATTTTTTTATAACACACCCAATGCGTGCCTTTATTTTTTTCAAAGTCGAGGTTAACGACAGCGCATTCCATGCGTTTAGGACCGGTGGCAGGCAACCTGTCTATGATATATACACTTTTGAAATGACGTATTTTCTTAAATTTAGCGTATGCCATAATTTCGAAATCATAAAGAGCACGATTGGGTAAAATTAGTTTTTTGATCTCGACGATTTTCTATCAGTTTTTGTTTTCGCTGATTTGCGAATTATTAGCGCTGATTTTTTATTTTTTCGTTTTTATTTTTATCCGCGGCCTTCTTTATCCCGTTACCTGTCCTTTTACGTGAACCTTTAACACCGGATTTCCGGGCAGTAGTATACAAACCCCCACCTTTGTGTGGGTTTAGATACAAGCCTTTACCTAATTGCAGAGCCGGCCTTAGGGTAAAGCGAGGCCTAGGGCAATTTTTTTTAGATGAGGCCTATAGTATAGACTTTTTTTTTATTA